ATCTGAAGGATGAGCAAAGGTTTGCCGGGCTGGTGGGTGGACGGCATTCCAGCATTTCAGAGCCGTGGAGGGGCCTCTGAGTCTTGCTCCACCTAAGCTCCCGTGATCTTTAAATTCAATGCATGACTGTTCTAGCCCATTGAACGCCTTCTCCCCGCAACCCATTCCTTCTTGTGACAATCCCCACCAGAAGAGCTAAAAGCTCTACCCATTTTCTGTTCATTCTTGATGAATCTTGGATCCCTGCCAGAGGGAAAGCTGCACTGTTGGCCGAACGTGTGCCAAGCATGACAGAGGGCAGGCCACGGACCAGCTGGAGCATCTACACCAGGGCCATGTTGAGAAACGCTGGTGCCACTTCAGGTACCAGATCGCACAATGAGCTCGGAAGTGCCAGGAGGGCATGGGCTTGAGAGGAATGGGGTTGGAGTCAGGGTTGGTGCAAAGGCGTATTGACCAGGGCCAGGGCCGGGGCCACCCACTCAGAGTAGTGTGAGAGGTGATGGCATAGTGGCAAAGACATCGGAGGGGCTAAGCTCGCTTTCTGGCTCTGCCACCTCATTCCCTGTGCCCCTCCCCTGCTCGTATGTGAGCCAGTGCCTTCTGCTTCCTCTCTGCACCTCCCATTGGCTTATGGCATCTGCTCCTATCTCCTCAAATGCATGGCCCCTTCTCCCTGCCGGGGCTGGTCTAGGCAGGATCAGCTACACAATTCCTGAGGATGGAATAAAATGAAAATGCAGGGCCCCTTGCTCAAATGATATTAAGTATTCTAGGACGGCTTCAGCAGAGCATTGAATGAAGCATGGGACACTTCTAAGTGCTAGGCGCCAACTGCCCAGGTGACATGCCAATGAAGCTCCCTGGGTCAACATGCATTTATCTCTGTCCCCCAGCACCCAGCACACTGCCTGGTCCCAGATAGGAGTCTCACAAATGTTCATTGAATGAACTGATCCTACAATACCTCATCCGGGTCACAACTCTTTTACAGAATTCTTGCCCGGCTTCTATTTGATGCTAGAAATGAAAGGGCTGAGCACAGCTCCTGGTGTCAAGTTGCTGTTCATTACAGGGCAGCCGCCATTGGAATAGAGGAAAAATAATAGTGGCGACCTCTTCTTTAGTGCTTATGCTGTGCCAGGCGTTGGCTGAAGCCCTTTGCGTGGGTATGAACTCAGTTCAGCCTCACATCTATGTTATGTGGCAGGTACACCGTCATTTCCACTTATAGAACTGAACCTGTGTATGCAACCAGTGAGTGACAGAACCAAGGTTTAAACGCAGGCAGTCTGAGCCCAGAGTTCACACCCTCAACCACTGAGCTACTGCCTTCCTGGCAACACGGTGTGAGCCGGGGCCTCCAAAGTGGGCTTGGGAACTGTGCGGCCAAGCTGCACTGCTTTATTTACTGGTGATACTATTTAACTATTTTTAACTTTAATTTTTAATTGTGGTAAAAGACACATAACATAAAATTTACCATCTTAACCAATTCCAAGTGCACAGTTTAGCAGTGTTAAATATATTCGCGTTGCTGTGCAAGCAATCATGAGAAATCTTTTCATCTTGTAAAACTGAAACTCTGTCCCCATTAACAACTCCTCTTTTTCCCCTCCTCCCAGCCCCTGGCAACCAGCATTCTCCTTTCTATTACTATGCATTTGACTACTCTGGGTACCTTCTATAAGTGGAATCATACAGAATTTGTCTTTTTGTGTCTGCCTTATTTCACCTACCATGGTGTCCTCAAGGTTCATCCATGTTGTAGCAATGTGTCAGAATTTCCTGCCTTTTCAAGGCTGAATAATATTCCATTATATGTGTATACCACATTTTGTTTTTCCTTTGATCCATTGTTGAATACTTGGGTTGCTTCCACCTCTTGGCTGTTGTGAATAAGGCTGCTATGAGCATGAGTGTACAAATATCAGTTCAATTCACTGATTCAATTCTTTGGATATATACCCAGAAGGGGAAATGCTGGACTATATGGCAGTTCTCTTTTTTAATTTTTTGAGGAACCACCATGCTGTTCTCCATAGTGACTGCACCACCTTGCATTCCCACCAATGGTGCATGAGCGTTTCAACTTCGCATCCTTGTCAACACTTATTATTTTCTGTTTTTTTGATAGTAGCCATCCTAATGGCTGTGAAGTGATATCTCATTGTGGTTACTATGGTCTGAATTGTGTCACTCTTTCAACAAACTCATGTTGGAGCCTTAACTTCCCGTGTGATGATATTTGGAGACAAGGCTTTGGGATACAGGCTTAGATGAGGTCGGGGTTGGGGAGGAAACTTATGATGGGATTAGTGTCCCTGGAAGAAGAGACAGGAGAGCATGTACCCTTTCCCTCTCCCTCACTCTACCTCTCTACTTCACTCTCTCTGCCATGTGAGAACAGAGTAAGAAGGCAGCTGTCTATAAGCCAGCAAGAGAGCTCTCACTAGAAATTAACCCTGCTGGTACCTTGATCTTGGACTTCAGGCCTCCAGAACTGTGAGAAAATAAGTTTTTGTGGTTTAAGCCATCCAATCTATGGTATTTTGTTATGGAAGCCTGAGCTGACTAAAACAGTGGTTTTGATTTGCACTTCCCTAACGATTAGTGATATTGAGCATCTTTTCATTTGCTTGTCCACCATTGGTGTATCTTCTTTGGAGAAATGCCTATTCAAGTCCTTTCCCCATTTTTCAATTGAGTTTTTGGGGTTTTTTGATTGCTAAGTTGTAGGTATTCTTTATGTATTCTAGATATTAATCCTTTACAAGATACATGATTTGTGAATATTTCCCCCCATTACATGGGTTACTTTTTCACTCTTGATTGTGTCCTTTGATGCACAGAAGTTTTTAACTGTGATGTAGTCCAATTTGTTTATTTTCACTTTTGCTGCTTGTGCCTTTAGTGTTATATAAGAGAAATCCTTGCTAAATCCAATGTCATGAAGTTTTTCCCTGGGAGTTTTATAGTTTTAGGAGTTTTTCTAGCAGTTTTTCTAGAAGTTTTATAGTTGTAGGTCTTGTGGTGAGGTCTTCGATCCATTTTGAGTTAATTTGTGTTTATAGTGTAGGCAAGGGTCCAATTTCATTCTTTCGCATGTGGATATCTGGTTTTCCCAATATCATTTGTTGAAGATGATTCCTTTTGTCATCGAATGGTCTAGAGACCATTGTCAAAGATTGTCTAGCCATATATGTGAGGGCTTATTTCTCAACTCTATTCTATTCCATTGGCATATATGTTATCTTTACGCCAGTACCACATTCTTTTGATTACTGTAGCTTTGTAGTAAGTTTTGAAATCAGGAAGTGTGTGACCTTCAACTCCATTTTTTTTCCCCCAAGATTTGTTGGTATTCAGGGTGCCTTGAGTTTCCATATGAATTTTAGGGTGGATTTTTCTATTTCTGCAAAACTGCCATTGGGATTTTGATAGGGATTGCGTTGAAACTATAGATCGCTTTGAGTAGTATTGACATCTTAATATTAATCTTTCCGTCTACGAACACTAGATGTCTTTCCACTTATTTGTGTCTTCTTAGGTTTCTTTCAGCAGTACTTTATCGTTTTCAGTGTATAAGTCTTTTACCTCCCTGGTGAAATTTTGTTACTAAGTATTTTGTTCTTTATGATGCTATTGTTAATGGAATTGCTTTCTTAATTTTCCTTTTGGATTGTTAATTGTTAGTATATAGAAATGCAACTTGGGCCAGCCTGGTGGCGGAGTGGTTAAGTGCTCACGCTGCACTTCTCAGCGGCCCGGAGTTCACTGGTTCAGATACCAGGTGTGGACATGGCACCACTTGGCATGCCATGCTGTGGGTAGGCATCCCACATATAAAGTAGAGGAAGATGGGCATGGATGTTAGCTCAGGGCCAGGCTTCCTCAGCAAAAAGAGGAGGACTGGCAGTAGTTAGCTCAGAGCTAATCTCCCTCAAAAAAAAAAAAAAAAGAAAGAAATGCAACTGATTTTTGTGCAATGATTTTGTATCCTACAACTTTGATGAATTTATTTGTTAGTTTAAAATGTTCTTTTATGGAATATTTTGGGTTTTTTACATATAAGGCCATGTTATCTATGAACAGGGATCACTTCGCTTTTCCTTTTCCAAATTGAATGCTTTCTATTTCTTTTTCATGTCCAATTTCTCTGGCTAGGGCTTCCAGTACTACATTGAATAGAAGTGGCAAAAGCATCCTTATCTTGTTCCTGGTCTTAGAGAAAAAGCTTGTAATCTTTCATCACTGAGTATGATGTTAGGTGTGGGCTTTTCATAGATGCCAGTTATTATGTTGAGGTGGCTTCCTTCTATCCCCGTTGAGTGTCTTTTATCAGGAAAGGGTGTTGAATTTTATCAATGCTTTTTTCTTTTTGCATGGTGGTGTTCATGTTGGTTTTTCCCTGTTGTTCTGTTAGTACAATGTATTACATTGATTCATTTTCTTATTTTGAACCATCCTTGCATTCTAGGAATAAATCCCACTTGGTCATGGTGTACATGATTCTTTTAACAATTATACTATTTAAATTTTCTGGAATGTACATGGTGTGCTGCTATTAATATTACCAGCAATTTATGAGTATTATCTCTACTAATGCTAGTAGCCTTATTATTATTAATATTACTTGTTATATGTATATCACCTAATAGAAATTGACATTGCACCTTTGCAAAGCAAATATCATTTGATCCTCCTAGTTATCTTATGAAGAAGAGAAGACCATATTATCTCTAACTTATAGATGAGAAAACTGTGAGGCCAAAGAGGCAAAGTCACTTTCCCAGGGTCAAAAGTGAGAATTTCCAAACAGCTACCACATATATATGGGTTGCTGATTAGGCCTGTTCGGTGTGGCCCTGATGAAGCTGAGCAGGAATTGTTTGGTAAATGGCAAGTGAAAAAAGACTTCAGTGGGTAAAATTACAGCTCTGTGATTATCAGAACTGCCTAGTGAGAAAATGGACCACACCAGGCAGTGTGGTCTCCATTTTAGGGGGTATACCTGCAAAGGTGAGGTCTCTGCCAAGGGAGATGCTATTGGCGAGGTGCTTCAAACATCATATGGATATTAGAAAGGAATGGATATTGTTTAAAAAACCCTTCTGTCTATAAGATTTTATTATTTGTTTTTCTTTTTCAGCACAAAACACTAAAAGTAATCAAAACTTTGGAATTATCACAATGTTCTGAAGCTGCACCTGTATTATTAAGAAGAGTGATTTAGAAAGAGAAATATCTAGAATCGAAAAACAATTCCTCCACTCTGGATAATCTTGAGCACAGCAGCTTTGTCTTACACATTTATTTATCTTTCATGGTTTACACAGGATGTGGCACATGCATAAGTATTTGTTAAAGGAAAGGACAGTGGAATGAATGCATAAAGCCATGAAAGCATGAAATGAAATGAATTCTCCTTCCTCCAAAGTAATTTCAAAGGGGCATTTATAGCTGGATAGTGAAGGAAGGAGCTGTAGAGATCTCTGAATCCAGCTCTTCCCTTTGACACAGAGGAGTCAATGGTCAACAAGGTTCAGAAGTTCGCCCAAAGTCATCAGGTGAGGTTGTCTTCCTTGCCTTCCCGATTGTAGCTTTTTACCAGCGACCACTGGTGTTCATTCCATATTTTATGATTTCCTGTCAACAACAACAATAAAAAGGTTTCTGTATGATTATTGAATATTTTTCTAGAGAGCTTGCTCTGGGACACATGACTACTTCAGTTTCACAGCAAAGACAAAATTCACAAGTAGTGTCACCTACTTTGAAAGATATTTTAGGGCCTAAGCTGCCACTGAGTTGCTCTTTGTAGCTAACCTAAGTCCCTCATGCTATACTTTGTCACTTTCTGAAATTAAACAGCCATTTTTCTGTGGGCGTTCTTAGGACTCTGCCTCCCTCTGCTGTGGCAGGTCCTGCACTTTGTTTAAGATTCAAGGTTACGCTCAGGAGACATGTTGGATTTGCACCAGGCTGGAAGGCACACCAGAGACCAAGGAGCTTCATGGCTTCATTTGACGGTCACGGACACTTAGGGCCAGCCAGCGAAAGTGACTTCTTCAAAGTTGCATCACGGTTCCTTGGCAGAGCTGGAACTCCAATGATCACAGGTACTCAAGCGACAAAGGCAATGCCTTCGCAAAAGGGAACTTCGCCACTCACGAAGAATACCTGTGTGTCCAGATCAGGTACCCTCCTGATGTCAAAACCACTCCTGATTCTCAGCATGCCAAAAGTTGAATTTAGGGGAAATCCTTCTCAGAATTTTCTCCACCACCTTCTTGCCCACCTGAAACTCCTGCTCATCCAACAAGAAGATGGGAACACTTCTCCACAGTATCCACTGAACCTCCTACTCCGGGCAAAAATAAGTACCCTATGGGGCCAGCCCAGGGGCATAGCAGCTAAGTTCGAGCACACCATTTCGGCAGCCCCAGGGTTCACCAGTTTGGATCCCAGGCATGGATCTACGCACCGCTTCTCAAGCCATGCTGTGGCAGGCGTCTCACATATAAAGTAGAGGAAGGTGGGCATGGATGTTAGCTCAGGGCCAGTCTTCCTCATCAAAAAGAGGAGGATTGGCAGCAGATGTTAGCTCAGGGCTAATCTTCCACAAAAAAAAGAAAAATAAAAATAAGTACCTGTAAGCCTTTCCTTTCTCTATTTCACATTTACCCAGGATTCATTTTCAAAAACAAAATCTCAGAAAACATTCTTCCCACTCTCCCCTTAACTTTTACTCTTTTAACATAACTTTGGGGTTGTTTGAAGATTGTTTTAAATGTCTATGTGAATTGCCTGCATGTTTATTAATAACTGTATTCTCTGTTTGCTAATACAGGTACACATTTTACTAGTTTTCTTGCATGAAAACATCAGAAAATGGCATTGCCCTGGAAATCCCGTGCCTTGACCACGTTCCCATTTTAATCCCGACGTCTTACATTCTCTTTTCTGTAGCTGGAGGACCAGAGTGAGGGCCTCGTGGGGTCCGGGCTCTCAGTATTTTGTGGGGGAGAAAGGACAACGGGGCAGCCTGTCCGTAGATATCACCAAAGACCTAAGCACAGTTTTTGAGGAGGAACAAAGACACCGTCCAATCTGTTTGCACACACACACCTAGGGCATTCATATGGCAGCCCTTATGCACTGAGAGGAGAACTGAGACACGGAACCTGTAGTAGGTAGAGGACAAGGAGAGGGAGAAGGAATAAATCCAACTGCTCCTGCACACTTCCCCAGACGAGACCCGGGACGAGACGGGGTAATGTCACCTCAGACCTAAACCATTAAGCTACATCGTGCCTCAAAGAAGCAGAAACTCAGACCAAGATTCCTCCCTCTCTGCCCTCCCCTGGATGGGCCCCTGTGAAATCAAGGGACTGGCTTGGGAAGGACTTTGCACACTGACCTCAGAAATTCTTTTTAGGGGAATGTGATCCCTTTTATTATACAGGGAGATATAAAACTGCGTATGAATTGGCAATTTTATTGCCTGATTTGAACATTACATTTTATTAGCATAGTGGGTGTTTTTTTGTCATACTCATTACCTACTGCCCACAGTGAGGATGGGAGCTCCGTTCTGGCTTGCACGGGAAGGAGATTCAGAGCAGAGTGCCGGGGAGCGCCCTGCACAATTGCACTGTTCTCTGAAAGCCTGTCCCATCTTGTGGGTGGCTGTTATTTGCCTCTGCATCTAACTCTGCAGGCCCTGCAGGAAGCAGCGGGCTCCTTGAGGGCGGGGCCCGCTTCCAACCTCCCTCTCTATCTGGCACGCTGCTGGGCATACAGTCCTTGCTCAATAACTCTCTGGATCCACCCCTGTTCCTTTGGATTCTGGTTGCAGTGTTCTCCCCTCTGCCCTGTGCTGCCCTTAGCCATAACATCAGGCTTAGTGCGCTTTTCCCAAAGCTTGCGGCCCTCCTCGTTCACCACATCCTGCATCCCCTATGTCCAGAGCAATTGCTTTGTGCCCACGGATGGCTTTGCTGAGGCAGCGCTCCCTGGAGAGGCCAGGCTCCTATCTGCGGCCCGTGAGCAGGGGTTTGGCAGGCCGAGGTCCATCCTGGCACAACTGATTTCTGCGTGATCAGCCCAGGACATCAGTTAGCAGGCAGGTTGGGAAAGGATGTAAAATGAATGGTCCCTGATAACTCGATCAGGAGCTGGAGCCAGAGATCATAGAGAAATTTATCACCAGAAGTGACAGCACCAGGCCCTAGCAAGAGCTTCCCCAGGATCTGGCTCCTGTGCTGAGGGTTTCTGTCAGATACCCTAGCCCATGCAAGAAAGAGATCAGGGTTAAAGAAGGTGGGGGAGTGATCCTGAGTTATGGGGGAATGAGCCTGAAACGAGGCTGGTCCGGGCTCAGGTCTGAGCCCTCCACTTAGCAGGTGGGCCTTGAGGAAGTTGCTTAAGGTCTCCGAGCCTCAGTTTCTTCATCCGTGCAATGGGTATAATGCCACCTCCCTTTGTGAGGGGTCCACAAATTAGTAGAGATCCGCACGTGGAAGGTGCTCGATAAATAATCTGTCGAATGAGTTACCGAATACCAATCACCTTTCTCAGTGCCTGGCCCACCACCGATGCTTTTAATGAATGAATGAGTATCAATTTGCTATCATAGTGCACGGCATTTAGTCTGTTGTTGAAAATAAAGTTAGGTCTCTCCCCCACCAAGATTTTACCCCCTCCAACCTGTTTTCCTTCACGATTTGTAAATGCTGGCCCAGAGAGGTGAGACAACCTTGTCAAGGTCACAGAGCGACTGTGAATCAGAGCCCCTTTCCTGCTCCCATGCTCGGCCCCGTAGAGCTCCGGCTGGCCCGCCGTCCACACTGCTTCCAGAGTCCAGAATACCGCAGACCAGTTGCCTCCCGACCTCTGCCCAGGAGGACTTCCGTGCCCATTGAGGTAACACTGACCCAGGGCCTCTAATCCCGCTTCTGCTAGCCTACCTCCCCTCTTCCTATCTGTGATGGTTAATTTTATGTGTCAGCTTGGTTATGCCATGGGACCGAGATATTTGGTCAAACGTTGTTCTAGATGTTTCCATGAAGGTTGCTTTCAGATGAGATTAATATTTAAATCAATAGACTTTGAGTAAAGCAGTTGACCCTCCATAATGTAGGTGGGCCTTGTCCAATCAGTTGAAGGTCTTAATAGAAAAACATAGACCTTCCCCAAGGAAGGAGGAATCCTGCTGGCAGGCTGCCTTTAGACTCAAACTGCAACAGCAACTCTTCCCTGGGTCTCCAGGCTGCCAGCGTACCCTGCAGGTTTTGGACTTACGAATGTATATCATATACACACACGGACATACCCATCCTATTGGTTCTGTTTCTCTGGAGAACTCTGACTAATACACTATCCTTCTTGGTAGTTTATTTTCCAGCTACTAGCTGCTACTTACCGTGTCTCCAAAGCACCAGGATGGCTGTCACCTTGGCTTCTTTGCACAGACATCTGTTTCTGCCTGGAACTCTGTCACTGCTTACTGTCTGGCCCACTGCCTTAAACTCAGCTTACCCAGACTCCTCCTTTGACCAGGGCCTATCTAGCTGCATAGCGCTGCCTGCCGTGTAGCTGTTCCTTCATGGGGCTCCTGTTTTCCTGTCTATGTAATTTACGACCTTGTATTGAATTTGCACATCTGTTGTCTCTCTCCTCACCTGGGACCACTGAAGGCAGGGCCTTGCTTATGCATCTCAGGCATCTTAACCTAAGTTAACAAAGTTGTGTTGAAAACAAGGAAGGAAAGAAAGAAGAAAAGAGGGAAGGAAGGAGGGAAGGAGAGGGGAAGGGAGAGAGAGAGGAAAAGGAGGAAAGATGGAAACAGGGAACCAGGATGGGCAAAACCAAACAAAGTAACAACTCCCACTGATGGGGACCGCCACAGGAGCAGAGGCACCCACTGAAAGAGCTCCCAATAACCAAGCTGGAAGAATTTGAGCAACAAAATTAAGTGGTATTGGATTAAAACCCAAATGATAAAATAAATATTCAGAGTATACGTCCATATAAATAAATAATTGAATAAATTAATAAGTGGTGGGCACTTTTCAAATGATTTACATAGATATACCACCATCAAAGAGGGAACACGTAACTCACCCCGCCTCAGGTGTCAGCTGCACATAGTGACTGTCCCCCAGAGAGTGCAGAATAGAAAGGGGGAAAAAGCACAACTTTATGGTGGAGAAACCTGAGGAGCATGACCTCAGCCAGGTGGTCAAGGGGAAACACCCACAGTCATAAATCATGTTGATTGTCTACACCCTTGATAGAGGATGACAATGGTTCTTCATCTCTTCCTCCTCAAAACCCACAACCCTGGTCTAATCACGAGAAAAACATCAGATACATTCCAGAGGTGGGGCATCCTACAAAACATCCTCAAAACTGTCAACGTCATCAAAAACAAGGAAAGTCTGAGAAGCAGCCTAGAGGAGCTTTAGGAGGCAAGACAACTAATTATAATATGATATCCTGGATGGGATCCTGGACGAGAAAAAGGACATTGGGCAGAAACTAAGAAAACCTAATTGAACCATGGACTTTAGTGGACAATGAGGTATCAATATCAGCTCATTGATTGTAACCTAAGTGTCATAGTAAGGTAAAATGTTAGTAGT